CCCCCCCCCCCCCCCCCATTAAAATACAATTTATTTTAATTTCAACAACTATTTCACTAAAATTAATTTACACTAAAAAATATTAAATTTTGATTGAATATCTAAAAATCTTTTATGTCAGTAAAAAAAATATAATTTTTTTAAAATCAATTTTTTAAATTTTGATTGAAAATTGACGTTTTAATCAAAATTTAAGAAATTCTGACCCAACATTTATTTTGCTTAATGCCGGTTAAAACAGGATGATTCTCGATTGAAACAGTGATAGAAGAACGAGTGATATTTTCTAAAACGGATAGACCAAGCATTCAACTACATGTTGATCTATTTGAGCCAGAGTCCCTCTTAAACAAGCATTCAACTCATGTCGTTTTGCTAATTCCAACCCGAGAATTGTGTTATATCCACTGATCTATTGTCCTTCCTACTGCTCCCATTATGCATCCTGTTTAGGAGCTTCATTTCTAGAAGAAAAAAGCTTCGATTTTGAATTTAACGACACGAGCTTTCAATTTTTATCCACTAAACTCAACTCGAACCATATAAATAATAAAAAATAAAACCAAGGGTAAAATCGTAATTTAACCTAGGCTCCAAAATGCAAGGGGCCTTTCCTATATAAAGGAACCTTTTGAGGGCCTTCGTTTTACAAAACCGTTCGTCCAACGGAGGCCGCCGGAAGTCGACGAAGAAGAAGAAGACTGCACCACCGCCAAAGCTCCGATGATCTTCTCTTTAGTTCCTTCTCTACCTATAATCTGTCCCTCAAGGCCGGCGGCGGCGGCGACGGCGGCAGTCTCCGCTCCTACAAGTGTCAACACCGCCTCCGTCACGACTTCCACCTCCCATTCCTTGGAAGCCACATTCATCCAACGCGCCGCCGAGATCGCCGACAAATCCGCTGGATTGACAGCTCCTCATCCGAACCATGGGTGCATCGTGGCTACTCCGTCCGGCGCTCTTGCTGGACAGGGCTTCCTCTTCGGCCAGGGTACCAAATCGGCGGAGGTTCAGGCCGTGGAAGCCGCAGGCGAGCACTGCCGTGGAGCGACGGCGTTCCTTAATTTGGAGTCCAATGAATGTCCCGGCGACGACGTTGCGGTTTCTGCTTTCGTCCAGGTTTGCCAATAATGTAATCGATCTGTTCGTTTCTTAATTCACCTTTTTTAAAAAAATAAAATAAATAATAATCTGTTTATTTTTCTCTTACCACGTGTGTGTATCTATATATATATATATAATATATATATATATATATATATATATATATATATATATATATATAATTATTCATTTCATAAAAAATAAAAAAAATAAAAAGATTAGAGAATTTTTTTAAAAAAAAATTTATATAAAAAATATAATTTTCGAAAAATAAAAATAATATCCAATATTATATTATATTATTGTTATAAAATATTATTTAATTTATGAGAACGTTTTATTATTATTTTTATATAATTCTATTAAATAACTATTTATAGCAAACCTTTAACCTTTAACGTTATAAAATATTAATATATGTATATATATATTAATACATCAATTTTTAATATTTAATGTATTAAATACAATAGAAATATATTTTTTTAATGTTTTATATTAATTTATCTAATATATTGATAGTAATTTAAAATTTTTAAATTAAGTATATTTTTTTACGTTTAATAATTTAATATATTAAATATAAATTATTGATTTAAACTTTTCAAGAAAGATTTTTTGAGCGAGTTAAAAGAGATAAAATAATATAAAAGTAATTAATTAAAATTTTTAATTACTCAATTTTCTTTATTAATTATAGATCACTCTAGTATAGATTAGAGTGGCAGTATATACGATAAGATAAGTGATGTCTATGAATATAATTATTACATATATGTTATTATTCGAGAGTTATTCGTAATTATAGATAGGTTAAAAGTCTATTTTGCCCCTATAGTTACTTCTTATACAAGTATCACCGGTCCTCTAATGAACAATTAGTTTATGATTCAATCATAAGCAAAATTCGTCTTAGACGAGTAAGAGGTTGAGACTTGATTGTTTAAATCTCGAAATCAACCGTTTGAGAAAAAAGATTGACCCTCTATTTGGTCAAGTCTCTAAAATGGTAGACTACACTCATAGATTTATAAGGAGAGATTAGATACCTTTATTAACAGTAGATTGTATCAATAATAAGACACGGAACGTTATCTATATATTATAAACTTTTAAAATTATTTCTTGAACATGATCGTGCGTGATTCTTCTGGTTTAAAAATTGTTAATGGAGAGTGTTCAATTAGGCAGGGATTAAAAGGGTAGTGGTTGGGATCCGGCATCCGTTGCAACATCTAAGAGGAAATGCTGTGAGGGCTTTAAGAAGTCAAGGGGTTGAAGTTGATGTTCTTGGAGAGGATGTTCAGAGTATAGCCATTGAGGTAAAATCAATATCAAAATAGATTTGAGTTATGATTGTTAGATAGCTGTTCTTCATGATGCAGTGTTGGTTTGTGTTATAGGAAGCTCGAAAAGCTTGCCTTCTTGTTAATGCTCCATTGATTTGTAAAGCTGCTTCTCAACTTCCTTTCTCTGTTCTTAAATATGCCATGACGCTTGATGGTTAGTATTATACTTTCATAACCTCTTTCGTTTCTCTTTTTCGTTAAGAATATGATATTGTCCTCTTTCGGCTTTTCCTTGTGGGCTTTCCCTCAAGGTTTTAAAACACGTTTGCTAGATAGAGGGTTCTGCCTCTTTATAAAGAATACTTCGTTCTCATCCCTAACCGACATGGGATCTCACAATTCACCTCCTTCAGGTCCTCGCTAGCACTCGTTCCCTTCTCCAATTGATGTGGGACCCCTCGTTCCACCCCCTTTCGGACCTAGAGTCCTTGTTGGCTCTCCAATTGATATGGGACCCCTCGTTCCACCCCCCTTTGGGACTTAGAGTCCTTGTTGGCACACTGCCTCGTGTCCTACCCCCTTCGCGCGTCTAGTAGATAGAGATTTCCACACCCTTATAAATAATGTTTCGTTCTCCTCCGCAACCAACATGGGATCTCACAATTCATTCTCTTCGGGTCCTCACTGGCACTCGTTCCCTTCTCCAATCGATGTGGGACCCCCTGTTCCACCTCCCTTCTGGGCCTAGCGTCCTTATTGGCACACCACCTCGTGTCCACCCCTCTTTGAGGCTCAGTCTCCTCGCTAGCACATTGCCCGATGTCTGGCTCTGATACCATTTGTAACAGCCCAAGCCCACCACTAACAGATATTGTCTCTTTGGGCTTTCCCTTTCTGGCTTCCCCGCCAGGGTTTTAAAACTCGTCTGCTAGGGAGAGATTTCCACACCCTTATAAACAATGTTTCGTTCTCCTTCCAACCAACGTGGGATTTCACATTTTCTCTCTTCTGATATTTTTTCGACTAGTTCTAGTACTAACATATATGAAGATGAAAATGGTGAATCGAAGTGACTTCACTTGAACTATCAGGGAAAATCGCTGCAACTACCGGTGATGCAACCTGGATCAGCGGCGTTACAGCCCGACACCGGCTCTCGGAACTACGAGGAAGAAGCGATGCTATTATTGTAGGAGGCAATACCATACGCAGTGATAGTGAGTTTCACCATTTCTCTATTACTCTCTTGTTGTCAAGTGGCACAAGTTCTTAATGTTCTTCAATCTTCATCAGCCAATCTTGAGCTGTCCTCTGCATTAGATCCAAGACTAACTGCAAGACAAAGTGGAGGACACACTCCCCTTCGTGTTGTAATGTCAAGAACACTTAATCTTCCTGAAGAAGCAAAGGTTTGGGATACAACAAGTGGTATACCAACCATGGTTGTAACACAAAGGGGTGCTAGAAGGAGTTTCCAAAAATTTCTTGCATCAAAAGGCGTCGAAGTGGTCGAGTTCGATACCCTCAACCCTCGAGATGTAATGGAGTATTTTCACGATCGAGGGTACCTTTCGGTTCTATGGGAGTGTGGAGGAACACTTGCAGCTTCAGCCATTGCCTGTGGGATAGTCCATAAGGTAAGGTCCTGATTCCAAGGGGCTCATTTGCCTTTGCAACACTAACTCTGCAGCCATTTTTCAACGCAGGTGTGTGCAGTGGTTGCTCCTAAGATCATTGGAGGGAGGAATGCACCATCTCCTGTTGGTGAGCTTGGGATGATTGAGATGTCTCAAGCTTTGAAACTCATTGATGTTCATTACGAGAAGGTTACTTACTTTTCATTGACCCGGTTCACCGTCACTGATATAGAATCAACCTAAGGGAAATTTTTAGAACGGATTACCTTGATGATCAAGATAAAGAGTAAAGAAAACTCGTGATTCGAATCATTCCACAAGAAGTTTGATCAATACCAGTTGAATGACTCTAGCATGCAAGTTCTAAACACAAGAATTTGCAAAGTAAAATCTTAGCTCAAATTCTATTCTTTAACTTTGTTGAGAGCTAAGCTTTTACTTTACAGATTCTTGTGTTTAGAACTTGCATGCTAGAGTCATCTAAGTGATATTGATCAAACTTCTTATGGAGTGATTTGAATCACAAGTTTAGAAATGAGTTTTTTTTTTTTTACTTTTGATCTAGATCATCAAGGTAATCCGTTTCAAAACTTTTCCTTAATCGGGTTGATTTCATATCAGTAGTCACCGAAAGATTTCTAAGTTGTTTCTTTCTAAGTTGTTTATGAGAATATGGCTCATGCAGGTCGAGGAGGATATGCTGATCAGTGGATATCTTCAACCTATATCAGATGTTGCTCCTGTTATCCCATCACGGGATGCAACCTTAGCAGCTGACCCAGCTGTTGCTCCTTGTGAACCAAATATCATATCGTTCTATAATTCATGGGATCATTATGGCTCACTTTCTAACTTTTCACCTCACTCTGTTCATATGGCTGATGAGAATGGTGATATTAGTACTTGGATGACGGTCGAGCACTATTATCAGGTACCCGTTCTTGCTCGTATTGTCTCATTGATGTTCTTTTTCCTTTTTTCGATGATAAATGTGTTGGGGATTGTTGGGAGAGAGTCCTACGCTAATTTAGGGAATGATCACGAGTTTATAAGTAAGAAATACATCTCTATTGGTATGAGATCTTTTGGGAAAGCCGAAAGTAAAGCCAGGAGAGTTTATGCCCAAAGTGGACAATATCATACCATTGTGGAGATCCGTGATTCCTAACATGGTATCAGACTCGTGCCCTTAACTTAGTCATGTCAATAGAATTCTTAAATGTCGAACAGTGAAGTTGTGAGTGTCGAACAAAAGGTGTACTTTGTTCAAGGACTCTAGAGAAGGAGTCGAGTCTCAATTAAGGAGAGACTCTATAGTGTACCTTGTTCGAGGGGAGGATTGTTAGGAGGGAGTCCCACATTGGCTAATTTAGGGAATGATTATGAGTTTACAAGTAAGAAATACATCTCCATTAGTATGACGTCTTGGTAAAGCCTAAAGCAAAACCACGAGAGCTTATGCTCAAAATGAACAATATCATACCATTATGGAGATCCGTGATTCCTAACCATATATGTCTTAACTAGTTGAGATATGCTCAAATTGACATTGTCTATGTAGGCTCACAAATTCATTGGGGTCGATGATCCTGTCGCACAAGAATACGTGGAGAAAATCAAATCAGCACGAAGTCCCGAGGAAGCAACAAGGATTGCAAGGCTATTGCAGAAGCAGCGGCCTGATTTGGTATGGTTCCTCTATCTAGATTAAGTTTTCGTCGACGTAGTTCGTTTCGAACGGGTGTCGTACCGATATAAACTTCTTGATCATACCGAGAATCTTCGTCCAAAACTCCCGATTTCCTTTGCAGGTGAGACCTGATTGGGATACTGCCAAGCTTGATGTTATGTACAGAGCATTGAAATGCAAATTTTCAAGCAATCCTGGCTTGAAATCCATGCTACTATCAACTGCTGGATCTGTTCTAGTTGAAGCATCACCACATGATCTTATTTGGGGTGGAGGTCGATTTGGAGATGGTCTAAATTACTTGGGGAGGTTGTTGATGAAACTACGAGCCGAGTTCCTTTCTCAATAGTCGAAACCGAACCGGGACGACCCGAAATTCAAATGAGAGAAAAGAACATAAAATAGAATCAATAATCACTTTATTAAATAAATCGTGTTCAATAAGTCGAGCTATGCTCGTGTTATGTCGAAAAAAGTATTGATATCGTATGCAAATAAAGATACAAAGAGGTATATTTTTTATGAATAATTGCAAGAAATTCTTGAATATGGACCCAGAAAGTTCTATATTCCAATTCTTTACTGAAAGTTTGTGATAAGGATTACGGTGTTCCAAATATTCCAACTGGATGTATTACACGATACAAGGTCAAGAAGATTCAACAAGCATTCATTCTTTATCTCCAAAATAAGATATTCTTGGTTCAACCTTCATAGGACCGTTTGGAGCTTCGATCATTTTATGTGTTACAACTTGATTCGAGAGGAAATACCGTTTGGAACTTCAAAAGTGAATATTTCCACGATTGAAGTAGTGAATAAGATTGCTATAACTAGCACTTGAGGAGATACAAACATTCAATTATTAAAAAATTAGACACAAAATATTACTTTATTTTCGGTTTACATTAGTTCGGTTAAAAAACTGACTATTTTCGTCTTTTCAGTTTCATTCGAATGTATGAACATGAAAAAAAAAACTTTATACAAAAAAGACGTTTCTTAAAAAATGAGCTACCTTCCAACACGTATATTTCAAGAAGTTACACAAAATAAAAAGAACAAATTCATTCAATTTGGCTAATAGAGCTCAAAGTTTAAACTCGGGTCTTTTCGACATTCGACGTTCGACGTTCGGGTCTTTTCGAAGAACTCATACAGTGGCAGCTTTGAGGGAAAGGAAATCTGAAATCTTGTTGGTGTAGAAATCTGGTTGTATTGAGTTCTTGGGACTTTGAAGTGTTGACAAGCTTGTAACACCTGTGAAAAAAAGACCCACAATGAATCGAATCGAAGTTACGTGTTCATTCCGTTCTTATTTCTTAGATTTCTAATGCCGACGTTATAGTTTAATCTCTAAACTTTGCTGTTAACGTTTATGAATCATTTTATTAGAACCTACGTTCGATCGAAAATTCAACACTAAATCTTCTGTATGTAACCTTAAAGGATGAAGGTGTCGTATCGAATAGTTTTCGTGGCGCTCAGGGACTAATATAGAAATTTAGAAGAATTTAGGGACTAATATAGAAATTTAGAAGAATTTAGGGACTAATATAGAAATTTAGAAGAATTTAGGGACTAATATAGAAATTTAGAAGAATTTAGGGACTAATATAGAAATTTAGAAGAATTTAGGGACTAAAGGGGTAAATTTATTACCTGATAAAACAAGAAGAGTCTTGCAACCACCGTTCTGTCCAAACAGAATATCAGTATCTAATCTATCTCCAACCATGCATATTTGTGACTTCTCAATCCCAAACCTATCATTGCCATCACACCAACATTATTTGTCAAGAACGATAGAACTCGAAGTGATATCGGTACGTAAGTTAATAGTATAGATGAGGCTTGTTCGAGAGCACCCCTCCCTCCCACGAGACTTTCCATAATCATCCTATGACACATGTATCTTACACCTAACTGTGTTGGTTCGACCCGAAATGTAACAACCCAAACCCACCGCTAGCAGATATTGTCCGCTTTTGCCCATTACGTATTGTCGTTAGTCTCACGATTTTAAAACGTGTCCGCTAGGGAGATGTTTCTCCAACCGATGTGGGATCTCACAATCCGCCCCTCTTTTAGGCCAACATTCTCGTTGGCACTCGTTCTTCTCTCCAATCGATGTAGGATCTCACCATCTATCCCTTTTGGGGCCAGCGTCCTCGTTGGTACTCGTTCCTCTCTCTAATTGATGTGAGATCTCACAATCCACTTCCTTTCGAGACCCAGCGTCCTCGCTGGCACACCACCTGGTGTCTAGCTCTAATATCATTTGTAACAACTCAAACCCACCGCCTCTAATTGAAATTTGGAATTCGTTAGGACCTTTAGGGGCGGCCCCTAGCAGGTATTGCCCGCTTTGACGTTATGTATCGCCGTCAGCCTCACGGTTTTAAAACGTGTTTGCTAGGGAGAGGTTTCTCCAACCGATGTGAGATCTCACACGAAAATTTTTGCAAGCTATGCTTCCACCTAGACTAGACCAAATTATGGTTCGGTTCTTCGTTCCTAGCATGCTTTGCATGTGCATACTCGATACCCGACATGACATCAAATTGAACAACAGTCAACAGCTTTCTCCATAGACCAGAAATTACCAAAAGGCACATTTTATCAAACATCTAACATCATGCATAATTTTGAACAGATTGGCATATGAACATTACTTGTTTGCTAAGTAGTCCATCATGAAAGTTGAGGGCTTCCCAACAACCAATGGCTCACGTTGGGTTGATCCGCAAAGAGCACCAACCATTGAACCACCACCTGATTTATGCACACAAGGAAACAATTTGAAACCCAACCAAGTACTAGAAAACAGAGAAACTGGGAGAGAACTGAACCTGCCCACTCCTGTGCATCTGTTAGATGCGTGACAGCATCACGGTTAGTTGCAATGAAGAGGCAGCCCGGGTTTTCCCGTATGCAGAGTGTTCCATACCTGAGATTCCATGGGGTTCGAGGTTCAAATTCTTACTCACACATTTGTTGTATTCAAACACTTCCATATGAGAGATCAAACTTACTGAGACCAAAGTTAATAAATAATGTTTAATGAAGTGCAGGACTTACTGAACTTTGTAGTAGTTGAAGTATCGATCAAATCCGACCACTACGGCTCCCACCTTCATGAAAAATAAGAATTTGTGGAGGGGGGGGGGGGGGGGGAAAA